TGTCGCCATTGAACGCACTTCGAGAATAATGCACGCGATATCGGGAGACAACGCATCTATGAATAGTTCCGTCTTTGCTCGTTGTAAAAGTAATAAATACGATTTTCTCTTAATACGGATTTTTAGTAAAAGTAAAAAAAAAAAAAAAAAAACACGACATCGAGAATAAAAACATGACAAATTAACCGAATAAAGATCAAATATCGCAATAAATTCAGGTATGCGATAAACAAATATGTCGTAATGTGAAAGTTATTTATATACAGACTTGTCGAAAGGCATAATGTGAATTGCCCACTGAGATTTCTATGTAATGTAGAAAAAGAAAGAACCGTGCGAAAACGTGGTGTGACTTTTACGACGCAAAGTTGATGCGCGGTCTTGGAACCAAGTCGGTTTCAGAAGCAATAATGGTGCTGTGAGGGGTGATTTACGAGAAAAGTGCGGTCGAAGTCAAAAAGAGCTCGAAATTTTTTTGCGCGCCGCGACAAAAGGAAAAAAAAAGAGAAAATTACTTCCTGGCCGCGATTGCACGCACGCGTTTTGTCGCAACCAGTCGGTCGCAACTACCTACCCGGTCGACATAAAAAATATCGCTTGCAACTTTGAAGTTCACAATAAACCGTACAAATATTGAGAAAAGTCTTTATCGTCTATATAGTTTCCGAATTAAGACATGGATGATTTGCCCGAAAATCGATTCCAATACGAATACAAACAACAACATATCGTCAAGTTCCGCATCAAACATTGGGGTGCGAGCAATTATCTTTTATCGATGTCTCATCATCGTCTCAATATCGCTGGTATGAATAATCGCGAGATCGTGCGTAAATGAAAGTTGTCCGGATAAAGTGAGATATAAATATAGATACGTTTTCGTTCGATAATCTTAAATAACACCATTCTTTATCTCGTCGGATGCTTTACGTGCGCATTGCACGTGTGCGTTTACGCACAGTCAAGCCTACTGTTTTATTTCATTGCGCAGCGATATCGTGGAGATAAGTAATTAATTTCTCATTAATCATAATTACGATTAGGTTGTAATTTATTCTAAGATTCGCGCGCGCGTGAGTAAAAGTAGTAATTTTGAAATATCAAGTATACAAAAAAACATAAAATCACATCGTCAGTTATATTTACGCTTTAGGAATATCTATTACTTATTTTTATCAAAATATATTTACTCATATGTTTATTATTTAAAGTATTTGTATGATAAAAATAACTGAAAGTAACCCGGATATCTATTATCCTAGTTTTGACGTGAAACACTATATGTTTTATGAATCACCTCGATTAGAAAGACTCTCTTCTTTTAGAAGACTCTAAAAAGTATTGTTTAGTGCAGCATTGTGTACCTAACGTAGTTTTTAGTGAAATAAATTTTTCTTTTGTTTTGGAGAGAAATTGTCTTCGTCGCGCGCATCTTACAATATACACAGCTACATTTTTAAAACTTACATCCAACAAGATGTAGGTTTTACAAATGGAGACCACCTACGTCAGCATTTTTCCTGTTTTATGTGACGGAGATTTGTTTGGCATATACCGGGGATTACGCGAATGCGAAGTAGGATTTTCATAACGGAAACTCGCGGCATTCGAGCACGCGTCTGCGGGTTGGCCGGAAAGATCGATTGTCGTACTGCGACACTCGGTGTTGAAGTTGGCATAACTTGGCAGTTCGCGCTTTCAAGCGACCCTGAAGTCAAACTCCGCGAGAAAGTTATTCCAGATGTTCTCCAACACCCCACTGTCGTTACGAACAACGTACAACTCCGTTCCTTTAAATTCTACGTACATGGTACGTATTACAGACGTTCAATTACAGACGAAACGTCAGTCCGAACGGGGGATGTTATTAGAGTTATAATTGCAAGTCGCGGTTATCAATATAATTGACGTTGTTAACACTTAAGAGCGTGGAAACACAGCTCGCATTTAATTAGGGATCAAAGCGTACACGGCAGACCCGTAACGTTCCCCGCGATGGGAATGCGTACTTGCAATTACCGGTAATTATGCTAAATTGCCGACGGGTATTGATGGTTTACATTATTGAATTGCGTAAACGGGAGAAAATAGAAACGCCGCAACTTTTAATTACAGAAACATTAAATTTTGAATTTAGTGTCATTAATTATTTTGACTATTCGTAATTGCAAGTGGCGGAGAGAAAGAAAAATATGTAAAAAAAAAAAAAACGATACATGTCTATACATAATAAAACCGAATTACTTCTACACAATTTAAAGAAGACACATTTTGTGAACCCGCATACGTGTCAGGTGAACCCTAACTTCCTGAAGATGCTTGAAGAACTCTCGATGTGCGAAGACTTCGTACATGAAGACGTAACTTCGAGCGGCCTATAATTTTCTCCTTTTTTTCACTATATCTCATCCGCAGGAAGTAACGAGATCTACACGGGAGAGGAGGAGAGAAGAAAGCCTCGTCACATGGCAGAAACACACCGTGTTGCATATATATATATATATATATACATGTATACCCACGCGTGACATACGACTATAGCATTAGAGCTCCAGTTCTTACAATGCTAATTCCATTCTTAGTGCCACTTATGATTATATCATGCGAGACACGAACAATTTTGTGCTCCCGAGAACGAGCCGGCTCGAGGAAGCGGGTGTTGTTATTCAACACGTGCGACCATGCCGCTTCTACGTTTACATGGATATACATGATACGCATCTGGCCGCACGAAAAATTCCCCTCGGTTACAAACCGCGAGCGAAGGAAAACTGGTCATCACCAAGGGAAGCGGAAAACCTGAAAATGTCGCGTTACGTCACGAGCCGTCACCGCTGCGCAGACCGCTCGCTTGCTCGCTCGCACGCGGATTCATCGAGACACGGATGACTTTCTCGGCATAGAAATTGATATGCGGAAACGAGCTTATCTAAGCGTACGATCGACGAGATGACGACAGTAATGACGATGATCGCCAGATAATTACAGGTCATCACAACCGCTATTTGCAGTCATTAATCCGTTTCGTATCATATTTGTCCATATCTAAAAAGTTTTCTTAAGATTTCCTCCCTCGAATTTAAAATTATAGGCCCAAGTATTCACTACTGTCATATAGTGAATTTTGATACCGAGAAAAAAAAGCCTCACCGAGGCGAATTATTTACTTAGATATTATTTATTTAGGAATAACTCAGTTTTTGTATACGCAAACATTCGATACGGCACAGATGCGTTAATAACTCTGTTTATTTCACAGACAAATAAGTATCTGCAAATAACCATATAAACCTACGTAAATAAATGTGACGAATCGTAAAGTCCATCTTTGCTAAAAACAAAAATATCTACAATATACAGATATTGGACTACATCCGTCAAACACATCCACAAAATACTACAGAGAACAGAGTTTCATTCGGAACTAAACTAAGTGCGATTTGAAATTACACAACCGCAGTTTTGCCGGAATAAGAACGGCCCAGCCTCGCTCTCCGACGAGCATCTTTTCTTTGTTGCGTCACTTTTGCTCGCGTTGGCGCGCACGTGTGAAAACCCGGCGAGTACGCGAGACCCGTTCCCTTTCTTCGCAAGCGCGCTCATTAGCGAACACCACTCCGCGAGTGCTTTTATCGCCAGCACGTATATAATACGGTATCCCAAAAACTATCCGGATGTCCCTTTCATTACGGGGCTTTTGGAATTTTTCGTGTAATTAACTAGAATATGGGATTTCTTTTTTCACGAACTAATTCTCAGAAGATACGCAGGGAACGACACTTTTTATTCGGAATTTTATACCGAGATTTTAATCGCAAAGATACAATACGTCGAAAATTGGAAAGTTTTTTTATATACCATGATTTTCTTTAAAAGTTCGGGAAAAGTCAATCTGCAACGAAAAAAGACCCATCCGAGTGGTTTATACGAGCGAGCATTGATGAAGATTTTTTACAAAACGAACTAAAAGAGGCGCGGTTCGATTGAGAATATGTCAATAGTAAATTGAAGGTGATTGTGCTGACTCTATAAATTTAAATGTTGAAAGTACCGGCTATTATTCTTTGACTTATTACTCCGAAAAATAAATACGAACTGACTGAATTATTTCGAAAAATCAAAAACAGTAATTTTTTTTAATTTGGATATTTTATTTAGGATCTATGCCTTGCAGCGCAATAAAATAATTGACTATAGAAAAAGCACGGGTATTTTTGACAGTTGTATGTCGAACACACATAACCTATTTCTCTTTTCTCCGTGTGTCAAGTAATGTTTTATTTATTCGACTGTCAATTTATTCAGACAACTGCGTTATTTCAATTAAAAAACAAAGACTGTTTTTCAGAAGTGATAATTCACGTATATGTAAAAAAATAACAATAACAAAGAATTGTTATCTCGAACAACAGACAAAGAAAACACAAATTTGTCTACTCCGCTTATTTTCAGAGGATTATTTGAGTATTGCAATGTATAGTAGCAACTTCGTATATTGTGAATCGTGCCGTGGCCTAATAGACCGCAGGGTAATCGGTGCAAATGCGCGAACTCATTCGATACACCGCGCATTTGAACCTGTTTCAAAAGTAGACAACACGGTCTTTCGCAATGACGACAAGAAATCTATGGGCACACCGTGTGTTGGAAAATCTCGCCTCGTCGATATATCTCGATCGTTAAAACGCCACACTTTCGATAATCGAAGGGACACAATATGATATTCGAAAAATCTGAAGGTGCAAGGTCATGATTGATGTTTACTTTGTATTGCCGAACTAAACGATTTCTCGAAAGCAATCGTCTTTTGAAATTTAATTTCGCGTCTCTCTCTTAATTTTCAATAACACAACATCTTTATACTATCAATCAAATTTGACTGTGAGAAACACACGTTCCTCCATTCATTCAGCCCTTCAGTTTTTCCAATGTCAAAATTGTCCAACCGGCGAACGGCGCCGGTCTCAATGCAACAAAAATTTTATGTAGATTCGACTCACCATGCAGAAGAGATTCGCGTCGGCGTTGCTGCCTGCGTGCGAGGACGAAGAACTGCGGCGGAAGAGAAACCGGCGAAAATCCAGAGGATGATATCCCTCGCGGAGTCTCGCTGCAGCGGTAGTCTCCACGCTTGTGTCTGTCCCTCGGATGGAACACCTCCCTCGGAGACGAAGGACGAACGAACGGTTTGGTCGGTTGTCGGGAAGAAAACGTGCGGAATCTCACTTGTCGCGTCGGCCCGGCCGCAGATAACACGAAAGGACGCGGAGAGAGGGGGGGGAGGGATAAAAATTGCAGGGTGAGCGAGACTCGCGGCAGTGAGACAGCGCGGACGATCCGGCGCGACGATGACAAAACGGTACGCGAAAAACAACTAACGAACGGATAGACGAACGGACGGATGGCGATCGAGCGCGGTGTATACACACATACCAACCGTACAGCGCGCGGGTTCAGCGGCCGACTGAGAGGATGCAGTTCGCCGCTGTTCCGCCATAGCCGCTCACGAACCCCTGTGGCCCCTCGTGGTTCACCAAGCGACTCCCCACCGTCGCCGCTAGCGTCGCTGCTCGACGAGTGAGACAAAGCGGGTGCGCGCGCAGCCTCGCATTTTTTGACCCTCCGACGCGGACCTCCATCTCTGTCTCTCTTTTTCTCTCTCCTCTCTCTCTCTCTTAGCCACCGGTACGGCCGACACCCCACTTCTCGCCGCCCTTAGGTCGATTCACTGCGCGAGAGGGCACACACTTGCACTGCAAACGGCGACACACGCGTGTATGCACAATCGGCGAATGTTTACGTGCGCTGCGCGCCCGCGCGCGCGCGCGATCGCGCAGAATCCTTTGGTCGCGTCTTCGGTTCGAAGAAAAAGTACTGTTTACATTCCGCGAAAAAAAGCGACCGCGACGAATTCGGTAGAACACGTACGATTGCCGACTTGTTACAACGACTATAAACAAATGATTAGACGAACGGTAGCGGGAAGTACGACGCGTTTTGACTCGCGAAATAGACTAGACTAGAAAACCGAAATTCGCGGATCACGTGACATCGACGGACCGACTGGCGCTCGGGGCGGTGTTCGAAAACTACTCGTCGAGTAACGTAACGTTTATTAACCAATCAGAATACAAAAAATCTTCGCTTCTTTTCGTTCTACAAGTTCAATGTATTTATTGCTGACTCTATTCGACAAAGGTAGAAGTATAGATTTTCGAACGCAGGATGAAAAGAAAATAAAATGAGATAGAAAGAAAGAAAGAGAGAGAGAGAGAGAGAGAGATTAATACATAAACATGAACGTTCAACAAACGCGTGCATCTCTCTTAAAAAAAAAATTACATATTAAAACTCGCTCAAGTCTTCGCGATATCTTAAAATACTTTCCGCACATTTCTCCATTAATAGGAGAGAAAGTTTCGCATTAATGAGAGAATGTATACTGCGAGAGATGGACTTCTGGATATCGTCTTGTTTACGCACGATATCATTCGTTGTTACGATGCATCTTTCGTGTTTCCCTCATCAGCGATACATGTAGCGATTGTAACGAAAGCAGTTTTCTAGCAGGAAGAAAAACATTTCGCGGTGTGGCAAACAGGTATTCGTCTTTTGTTAGCACGGAGCTCATCGTTGCGAGTTAACGACCGCGCTTACCGATACCCCGCGCGTTAAGCGTAGCACGGGGAGGACAGGTGGTTTATCGTACGCATCCGACAAGAAGGAAAAAGAATACGCAAAAGCCGAAGAAAATAAAACGCGTTTTCTACGCCGTGTTTTTTTTTTTTTTTCTTAATTGGATATTATCAAGTCTCTCCCTCTCTCGATGCAATTATATCCCGGGCCCTTTCGCGCGCTGTTCCATAATGCGCGAGTAATTACTGTACCTCGTTTATACTAATAGTCGAGCCGCCGGATATCGTAGTTGATCGTGGTTACGCGTCAGGGGCATCGCATGGGGTCCGAAGAGTTCTGCTCGTCGAGCTGCACATTGCGCATTGTCGTAGGCCAATGCGTAAAGGCGCGCATTACGCGTGCAAATTTACATAAATACGAGGGTCTTGACTTAGTGTATGTACGTTTAATATGGAATCTACCGGATGAGATATAAATAGCAGCCACTGACGGACGTTTTATTGTCTGACACGCTTTCGCGCCACTTTTACATTTTGCGCGTAGAGCGAAACTTTTATTTGACGCACAATTTTTCGATAATTATTTTTTTTTTCTCTCTTTATAACGCAATTTATAATCATTAGAGTTGCCTCATTTGTGTTATACTCGAACGGCGCCTAACCATCTGCTTCTACAATCACGCAATAGTTCCGCTACGCTTATGAATCTAATCGGATTACAATTTTCAAACGATTTCATTAGCCTCGTTTATTCTCTCCGAAAAAAAAAAATGACATACGATACTTTTCATAACTCATTCGCGAAAAGAACGTAAATTATTGTTATGAATTTTGATTAATTATAATTGTTTGCATGTTACTTGTAAAAATCCACTTTGTATTTTTCTAATATGAAGCCCTCAATTGTGCGGTGAGACGAGCAAACGGAGTCAATTGGAAAGATTGGAGAAGAGCGCGGGGACAGGGAAATGGCCGCTCGGTTGATACAATAGATATAGATGGCGTAAATACGATGCGAGTATGTACTACTAGAGATGGAGCTTGATCGCGATTGGCGGATTGGCCATCGAATCAAAACGAAGCAGCTCGCCGACTGATTGGTTAAGAGTGACTCTTACTGCGCATGCCTGACCGTAGGAAAGCCAATCAAGAGCGTTGTTTACGTAGTTGCTCTGCGGCGTCGAGGATTATATCACGTTAATGTTGATTTTAATTCTCGAAACAGTCAAGTCAAAGTCAACATTTGTAAATATACATTCCGACATCGTAGAAGAAAAACAAAAACATCGGTAAGTTTACAAAAGTTTATCATTGCTAGTATTTTCTGTAGTATAAATCTTAGTTTTAAAATATTTGCTTTTTGTTTCGAACGTTTCATAGAAACCGCATCTACATTCACTTTCTATATAAAATATAAATATTCTTTTGTTATAATTGTTTGTAAATCAATAATTATCACAGAGATAATTATTTAATCGCGTACTGATATGCAAAAATATGTGTCAATTATTTCACAAATGCGATCGGCAATCGATCGTGGTCGACGTTCCGATATGGTTACGTTCACTTGAATTGTGCGGCACCGTGGCAGCAACGCTTCCGGCGGAACATTATTGTCGCAGATGATCACGTGATCGGAGATCGACTTCTTCGTTTGTGGCCACGAGGTTTTGTGGTGAAAATTAAGTTTATCGGGTGGAAAAGGCCCACTATTTTTGTAGTTATACAAAAATGCCCTCATCGAACCCTCTGCCCCCGAAAGAAAATGCCTTGTTTAAGCGAATTCTGGTGAGTAATAGCCGATCAAAATACTCTGTTTTGGATACCCCACTCTCCGGCAAATACTGGAATGCGCTCATCATGCTCTCATGATAAAGCATTCTTCGCGGAAAAACGGAGAAAAGTCACTGGCGACCGCGGCACGCGGCTCCCGCGCTTAACTTAATGAATGAAAAGCCGTCTTGCCCGGCGGTATCCCACGACAATCGGTATCGTCGATCTCGCGCGAAAAACGCAGAAATAGAATTCGCCAAACCTCTCTCATTTAACCCTGTTACACACATTTTCACGATATGATGCTATGTTCTTTCTTGCAGAGATGTTACGAACACAAACAATACAAAAATGGGCTGAAGTTTGCGAAACAAATCCTATCAAACCCAAAGTTCAGTGAACATGGAGAGACCTTGGCGATGAAAGGTCTCACACTGAACTGCCTAGGCCGCAAAGAAGAAGCTTACGATCATGTCCGACGTGGCCTCAGAAATGACCTACAATCGCATGTGTGCTGGCACGTTTATGGTCTCCTGCAGCGCTCTGACAAAAAGTATGACGAAGCCATTAAGTGTTACAGAAATGCGCTCAGGTGGGATAAAGACAATATACAAATTCTTAGGGATTTGTCATTGCTACAAATACAAATGCGGGATCTGGAGGGTTATAAGGTAAATTTATTTTCTAGAATTGATACAAATATTTTGTCTTATAATCTTATATGTTTTTGTGTATTATATTCTACTATTGTAACATGTGCGAGATGTGTACATTATATATGTTTATCAATTATTTCTTTTAGGATACTAGATACCAATTGTTTATGTTACGTCCTACCCAACGAGCTTCATGGATTGGATTTGCCATTTCATATCATTTGTTACAAGACTACGAAATGGCTCTGAAAATTTTAGATACTTTTCGAAATTCTCCAATGGTACGTCACTTATAAGCAATATTTTACTTGATAGAAGATGTGTAATGATATTACATTTACATTAATTTGTACAGATATGTTACGATTATGAGCATAGCGAGTTACTGTTATATCAGAATATGGTCATTCAAGAATCGGGGGAATGTGAACAAGCATTAAAGCATTTAGACAAATACAGTGATCAAATTTGTGACAAGGTTACTGTAAAGGAGACTTATGGTAAATATGGACAATTAAAATAATACTGTTTATACAATATTAAAATTTCATATTAAAATTTCTTTTTAATCTATTTTTCTTTCAGGTAAACTAAGACTTCAATTAAAGCAATATGCGGAAGCTGAACAAGTTTACAAGGAGCTGTTAGATATTAATCCTGAAAATATAACGTATTACACTAGGCTAGCGGAAGCTGAAAGACACACCTCGCCGAGTGAAACACTGAGGATGCTTCAGAGATACGAGGAACTTTTTCCACGGGCGTCTGCGCCACGCCGTTTACAACTTAATTACGCAACAGGAGATGAATTTAAAGTCTTGGTCGATCGATATTTACGAAGAGGTAATCTTTTTCTATATATAACTACTTATCTTTAATAAATACTTGACACGATGTACCATGTATATTTAATAACTACATTATATGTATTTATTTTAGGACTTCATAAAGGCATACCACCGTTATTCGTGAATCTTCGTTCATTGTATACCGACAAAGAAAAAGTTGAAGTTATATCGTCTCTGCTTCTGCAGTACAAGGAGGCGTTAAAACTTCACGATCATTTCAGCGATCAGGAAAAGGATAATCCGCGAGAGCCGGCATCAGCTTTGCTGTGGACGTATTACTATTTGGCCCAACACTACGATTATCTCGGCGAAACAGAAAAGGCGTTGATGGAGATTGACGCTGCCATAGATCACACTCCTACGCTTATAGAACTTTTTGTTACCAAAGGACGAATTTACAAGGTAGAATTTTATGTAATGATTGTTATCGCACATTATCGTCGAACGCAAAATTTTATTACAAAAAACAATGTAAGAGATATATGTGGCCTAAAAAAGCTCTCGTACGTTTGTCGATACAGCACGCGGGAAACGTTCAAGAAGCTTACAAGTGGTTGGATGAGGCGCAGGGATTGGACACGGCTGACCGATATATCAATTCTAAATGTGCCAAGTACATGCTCCGTGCGAATCTTATCAAGGAGGCGGAGGAAACCTGTGGGAAATTTACGAGGGAAGGAGTTCTGGCGATGGAGAACTTGAACGAGATGCAGTGTATGTGGATTCAAACGGAAGCTGCCAACGCGTACAAACGTCTTGGGAAATACGGCGAGGCGTTAAAAAAGTGCCACGAAGTTGACAGGGTAAGTTGTATGTGTGTTCACGCTGTGTGTTCGCAACATATACGCGCGAATCATGTGATTCGTTGTATTAATGCCGCTATTTTGGCATTACAGCATTTTTCGGAAATCATTGAGGACCAATTCGATTTTCATACGTACTGCATGAGGAAAATGACGTTACGATCTTATGTCGGTCTACTGAGGCTAGAAGACGTTCTACGAGCTCATCCGTTTTACTTCAAAGCTGCGAAATGTGCAATAGAAGTCTATCTGCGACTGCATGATTATCCATTGCCTGATCCAGCACAAACGCAAGAAATCGACACTGGTGAGTGATTTATTATTTATTTTTGTTTTTCTCTAACACACGTTTTACACACACTCTATACACTTTTATAATGTATTTATTTATTTTTGTCTACACTACTATAATTTATAAATTAAAATATAAACGTAATAAATAATGTCGAAAGAAATAAAATTAGGAAAAGGATTGTTTCGCAAAACGTGTGTAGATTAAAACAATTTACAAAACATTCGCTTCGCATTTACATGCGTACTTGATTTTATTGGTATATTTGTACATATACATTATTATTTGAAAAATATCTCGTATGACACTAAGAATTATTACAAATAATATCGTTAATGTAGTAGAATATACAAGAGTACATAAATAAGTTTAGGAAGGGAGAAACATGTACATTCTAATTCATATAAAAGATTCTTCTAACCTCGGCTCGTATAATGAATAGAGATACGCGGCGAAATTACTCTTTCTGATTTTATTCGGCACGTAGAGAAAACTTTGTAAAAAGAAAACGTAAAACGTTGCGAAAGAGCAGTCTGTTGAAGCGCATCAAAGCATATCATTCGCAACTGCATGTTATATATGTCTAACTTTCATCGGTAATCACAGACAATGCGCAAGTACACGGTCGCGTCTGTAAGATACACAGTATGCGACATCGCGCACCCAAGTCGTTCTAAAGCGGGAAGGTCGGGTTGCGTAATAAATTAAGCAGTTCTCTCGTGTAACACAACGTTATAATTATCTAACTTAATCGATTCGTATTTACAAGTACAATAAATTATATAAAAACATGCGGCGCCTTGCTGAAGAAAACCGCGACGCGGGCGCAGGTTTTGATCTGCGCGAGATTTATGGCATTATTATGGGGCTGCCGTTGAAAGCGCTACGGGAAAACGCGCGTTCAGACGCTACCCTGGCGATGCCGTCTGCGTCTAAGTAATCTCGGCACCCGCGGCTTCGGATACACATATCCGTCGTTCTGATCCTGTCGTTGCGTAATCGCTTGCGGCGTCAGGAAATAAAAGTGGCTGACATCGCCGGGCAGACGGTATGCAAAATACGCGTTGGGATTGTCCGAGTGATTGATGTCTTGAGCTGGGACAGGATCGATGAATTCAGCGTCAGGATTAATCGGAGGACGTGGGTTTCTGTAGTTGACGTCGATGTCGTCCAACAGCGACACGGGTTCTTGGATCTCTTCCAATTCTTCCCGCGACTCAGCGAGAGGCACGAAATTGTTGGTACGTTGTTCGTTCGCCGGCTGCACCGTGTTCTGGATCCTGTAACGAGGAGTTGGTCGCTGGTGTTGGTGAACTTCCTGACTTTGCAGTCGGTAGTTCTCGTAGCTGGGCAACGGCGACGGCCGGTGCGATCGAGGTTTCGGCTCGATCACCTCGATAAACTCGCTGTCCGGGTTGATCGGCGGCAGAGGTTGTTGATAGTTCACCAAAGTGTCGTCTTTGAGCGAATACGGTTTGTGCGACTGATCGCCGTACTGCACTTTCACGTTGGGCGTCTTATAAGTGGTCGCCGGTCGACCGGTCTTGTACGCGTTTGGCACGTAGGTGTTCACGTCGTGGGTGGGTTTCTCCGTAACGCTGCTCGATTTCCCGTAAATCGGCGTCGTGCTCGATATTCCCGTGTCCGTCAGTTTCTTGCCAAAGATCGTGAAGTATTCTTTCGTGACATCGTCCAGCAATTTCTCGTCTTGCTGCGTGAAATAAGCGTGATGCGGATTGGCTGTTGTTTCTACAATAGTCGGATTCGCGGGATAAACCGGATACTGTGTCTTGTACGGTACGCGTTTCCGCGGGGTGTCGATGTCCTCGTACTCGTACTGCCGGATGCCGGAATTGACGTTCTGATACTCGCTATACGATGCGTCCTGTTGCTGTTCTCTGTGATACGACGATCTCTGGCCGCCGCGTTTCGAGTAATCCGCTACCTGGAAGCTGTACTGATAGATCGGCTTCGGTTTCGTGGTCTGTCGATAGTACGTTTGCGATTTCGGAGTCGTGTAGTACGTTTGCGGCGGATGATTCGGATGCGATGGCTGATAATAAATCGGCGCTTGATCGGCCAGCATACGTTGACTTTGATCTCGAGGCGTCGAGTTAGCGCCGAACTTTGAAGAGGTGAACTCCGAGTCGTCGGTGTAGTGGAACGTTTGCGAATTCTTCACGATGTTGTCGATTACCTTCGTCTTGTAATCCTTGGGCGTCTCGACCGGTTCGATCGTCTCGACAGCGTAATAATGTTTCTTGTGCTCGACTTGCTGAGGTCGTGACGTGTCGATGTTGTAGTACGGCGACTTTGTGGTAGTTTCGTAGTAAATAGGCGGTTTCGATGTGACGCCAGCGTTCTCGTCGGTCGATTCTTCGTAGAAGTAATAGGACGCGTGGTTGGGAGATCGGCCCGGGTGGCTGGTGGTAATAATGCTCTTTATAGAAGCCGGAGTTACCTCTACCGGTCTCTCCAACGATGATTGCGTGGTGGACGGATAATACGCCAAAACCGGAATCGCTTTGCTCGTCACCGGAGTGGACCAGTCTTTCTGTTGAGTCGTCGCCTCGGACACCTGATTCCCAATCACGGGACTGATGGTGTCATCGTTTGTATTTTCGAGAGTTTGCGGTTTCCGGGATGTTTCCGTTGTGACTTTCACGACATTAATTCTCTGCTTAGGCGCAAAGGTGTTCTTCGTCGCGTTCTTGGTCGTACGACCGAGAGACACCTTCGTGACGGTTACTGAAACACTGCTCGAAGGTGGACCTGTCTTGGTTACTAAGCTTGGTAGGACGGTCGAGCTCTTGTGATGTTTGGTCGTGAACTTTCTCGGTGGCAGATAAGTCGGTCGTGATCTCGTAGACGGTGAAGGCGTAGTTGTCGGCCGCTTCGTGTATTTCTTTGTGGTGGTCTTCTTGTCGTCTAGTGAGAAGAAATCTGGTGGCGGTGGCAGTATAATGCCGGGCACGAGCGGTCCTGGTGGCACGGCGGTCGTATTGTCTTGCGGATAGTGGAAGCTGTACGGTGGCGGATAGTAAATTGACTGATCCTCTTCGTCGTAATCCGACTGATTGCTCGGCGGTGGCACGAAGACCGCGCCGGGCGGTATGGCGTGGTAGAACGGCGGAAAACTTCCCGGTGGTTGAGGCTCAGACTTTATTCCAATTTGTTCATTGTTACTTTTGGACGACTTCTCCTCGACAGAAAAATTCTGCGATGGACCGGTCAGATCTGGAGCGAATATCGTGCCGTTGGGAGCGATAGAAAAGTACGGGCTTTCTCCCGGTAAAAGTCCCTTCGTGTAGAGAGGATCCGTGCTATAGTCGAGGGTGCTGTTGCCGATCTCCTCTCTGGTGCCGTTCGGACCGATGATCTGTATCGGTCCCCCCTCCGTGAGCTGTACCGGAAAGGGCGGCGGTATCTTCGGCCGCGCCGGTATCTTGACTTGTCGTCTGGGCGCCTTGTAATCATCAATGGGCGGCCATTTCGGCTGCTCGTTGTCGCTACCGTCCTTCTGCTGCCCGTCCTCGTGTTCAGGAAATTTCCCGCCTCTCAATACCAAGACGTGGTTCTCGGCTAACCAGATTTCTTCTTCGTCAAGACCTCCCAGATTGTCAATCGTGTCCTTCGGCACCTCGGGATTACCGAGATAGCTAATGATGCCCGGTCGTTTCGGCTGCTTGCCGTAAATCTCGTTCTGTATGAGCCCGTACTTGCCCTCCTTGACCTGCTGAGAGAGCGTTTTCTTTTCGTCATCGTCGTCATTGCTGCCGCCGCCGCCGCGAGTGCTTTTTCCTCCCTCCTTCCCGTTGCCGGCCGCGGACATGAGAATTCCATCGTCCCACAGCGACTCGCCGTCGTCACGACGTCTCGAATCGAATCTCACGTGACCCCCGATCAGTCGGTGAGACACTTTCCTTCCGGGTTCCGCGGTGATCTTGTTGTTCGACGTGCTGCTGCTCGCGTCCCGGTTTCCCGACGCATATTCCTTGCCCTCTCGTTGACTAGATTCCTCGATATCGACGTGCCTCCTCTCCCCGACGGACGATTCCGCTGTCGCGACGCATGTCGCTATCAGCATTAAAGCTAGTGACAGCCTCCGCGAAAATAATAATGTGTGATGCGTCATCTGAAAACACAAAACAACCTCGTATCATTCATCTTGCCTCGTTTACATACGCGTTGTATTTTCTTAACGCGATCAGAAAATTTTTGTATTTTTATCCGGCGTTCACGGTTTATATTTATCTTATGCGTAGCGTTCGTCGGGAGTAGGTGTATAACGGGAAAAGTGCGGCCTCGCGTTTATAAAACACCTTGAATCACGCGCTTTATTATTATGCGGCGCGCGTTAATTAGATAACGCGCGTTTTTATTCTTCACGCAGCGTGAAATGATTTCTATATGTTTAATGGGTCAATATATGGAGAATCTCGGCGTCGGGGGGAAATAACACAGTTTTGTTTTGTTACACAATGACCGGAATTACATTCATGAGAGACGCAGCACGCGGTTTTCCAGCGTATGTCAAGGATCGAATTGCGCAACGCGGTGCCAATTAAAGTACTAAGTCACGAACGAAAGCCGTGTGTTTATTCGCCAGCCGGATTATTGCCGCTCTGCAATTTAATCTTGCGGGAAACAGAAATTCGCTACTAATGGCTCTCACTATTATCCGTCGCTATTATCCGTTTTGACAAACCGTGCCGCAAACACACAGAGCAGACGCAAAAAAGTGTGTTATAGCGTTTTAAGCAGTTTTTTTAGAGACAGACATTGAAAACGGACACAAAAACGTATCTTGACATTTAAATATACAAACATTAGATTCCTAAATAATTTGATATGTCTAACGTATTGTCTTGTAAAAACCATTGGGGAATGTGTGATTAAAATTTCAAATATCCGCGTGAGAACGAATGTTGCGAATTGCAAATGTTGCGCGTTTCGACGGTTAATCTTCCGAGACTTTGTTCGTGCATTCGGAGAATTCGTTAAATCCTGCGGATACTTCGTGTACCGTGCGGTGATACGAGAATGCGATATTGAGGGGGGTTGCCACGCCTTTCGCCGGCGAACAGATCGGTGAACGGTCGACAAACATTCACGGGTCACTGGAGTATACTACCAGCCGACTCTCGTAATGATTTGCGACTGAGTAACAAACCGGGCGCGAGCAAAGCGTAAGGGATTTCTAGCGAGACGTGCACGTCGTGTAGGTATCGTGTTCGGCCGAATGCATTAGCGTCGGACACGGGCGCGTTGCCGCAACGCGTAAGTTTGCGGAAGTAACGCCACCGCGAGCAACGTACACGATAGCGCGCTTCCGACAGACAAAATGCGCGGACGTCGCACTTTGCCTATCTCGCGGCACTTTTCTCGGGGGAAAAAAAAACGAATAAAAACTCGTAGCTTCCTTCGATTCGCTTATCCGCGACGCAAGAATGCGTTTCCTGCGCTATTTTGATACATTTCGCTCATATGTATTTCAGTTTAAGCTACAAAAATAGAGAAAGCGGTTACATAAATAACATTATGCAAGCGTAACGTATGAATTGAATTATCATAATGTAAGAAATTATACGAATTATCGCACAATTATAATTGAAGCTGCGGAATTGAAATGTATTGTTGTGACCGATATATATAACGTTTTGTTTCGTGGATTTTCATCCGTGCGATTATGTCTAAAAAATTCTATTTTATAAATTTTCCATAAACTTATCTGAATTGTGCGCTCGATAATTTAATCAAATAGCGGGATCGAAAACCTACTTTTCTCTCTCCGTACATGCGAAACGGTACGACAAACGTTTACCAGGGACGCCCAGGTATGTCGCTGAATTGCTGTAATATCGCCACATGCAATAATGCGCTTCTTCCAAGAACTTGCGAAGTTGATCAGTTCAATGATAGAGACGTAAAGCGGTCTTACGTGAGAGTGCGCTCGATTTCTCCGCGTAAAATAACCGTTTAATCCGCGCGAGCTCTACGTGACGACGCGTTTATCCGCGCAAGAAGAATCAATTAAACTCATAACATTTTTTAATCACCACCGCATACAGTCAATTATCATCGTACATGCTCTCGTGCAATTCGCAACGTTTGAGAAAAAAAAAACCAAAATTGCTTTCGCTCCCAATATTTTCAACCAACACGCACGTGAGTTGCTCGGAATTCTCGAATTAATTAAGGAAAGCGATTTCAAAACCACCACGAACGTGTACGTAAAAATTGGTAGTTGTTACGAAACATCATCAGTGAAATAAAAATTGGTTTACGAAATTGTCTTCGCACTCGAATAAGTCAGACACGGCGCGGCTAACTCCATTGTGCGCTCCTATACACGATTTTAACATATTCACTGTCCGACATTTAGCCGACACTGCCCACACCGCGATTGAACAATCAATAGTTCAATCGTGTCAAAAATCCAGTTCCGGCGTGTGTCGTGAACAAGACCGGTTCTCAATTGTTCCCGAGCGACGCTCGATCCACATAGCGCTGAATCAAGTCGCGCGTAAGGTGATTTCCCCACGTGTGTGCGCGCAATGTGTGTGTCCTCCGAATTTGAACGTTTCTCCGTAAACGGAGAACGCGCGCGACCGTTATTGCGCGCACCGATAAGCGATCGCGCGTTTTCGGTGCTTCGATTGTACGAATAATAACGCGCTGTCGAGAAAACGTGCTCGCGGTACGACCGTTCGAACCGGCATGGTACACGTGACTGGCGAGTTTCCATCACCCTCTTCGCTATAGGTGTGTACCACCGCGGACCCCCCAAGGACGTTCGTCGGGGAAGGTGGAGCGCGATATACGGAGCACGCGGCCCCCGAAGCTCTCAAAGTGGAAAGGAGGAAGTCGCGGCCGATTCGTGCGATTAACGATCGGGTAATTAGATCGCTGACTTCGTGTCTGGCATTATTTTAGCTTCGCTGCTTCGACCGAGAGGATATTTCACGCGCGACTGTTCTCGAGACACGTAACTCGGAAGAAACGTACGCATGTGCGCACATGAACGCGCGACAACGTCCGTCCCGGGTCCTTTCACTTCTCGTCGACAATCGGTATTACATCCGATTTGCTTGGGTTTTTTTTTTTTTTTTTTTTTTTTTTACGCAGCGCAAAATAGCTATAGACGTGTATGTATTATTTATGGGCACTACTCGCGCGATTATCGCTTCGCGCGAGCGGATTTTTTTTTTTTAATTTTTTTTTTTTTTTTTTTTTTTTTTTCAGAGCGATGCTCACGTGACAGACGGCGAAAGAAATCGCGTGCGCTCGCCCGGAGTTATCCCCGCGAGAGAGAACCGGAGTTGCCCAACCATCCGGTAACACAAACCTTTTTGTACCGGCAATAGTGCTGCTCGCGCGATACTCATAAATCACGACGATAGTTGGGTACATACATTCCGGCATTGCCGTAAACTTTTGCCGTGCAAATGCGCAACACGCTATTCTCACAGGTCGCGCGCAGATAGGCTCGAATAGACGACGCACTGTCATTTGCCGAAATTGCTAACTCGAATTGACTCGAACGTTTTTAACGCGCCCGGATCCAATGGCCATTAATTTCGTCGGCTTTGTCGGCCGTTCGAATTGCGCGTCGAGGGGACTCGAATAATAACTCTCGCCCCCCCTCTCTTCTGCGTATTTTGCTCGCGTGAGATGTAGAATTGCTTTGTAGGAGAGACGTTGCAAAATTGCGACCAATCGAATGCGTCACCAAAGCAGAGGTGGCGGGTTCTCTCCGCAAGACGAAAGTCAAAGGATTTTGAGAGGCGTGATGCAAGCGCGGAGAACCGCGCTTGGCAGGTGCCGTTACGTTGCCCCTAGACCGAGACTTAGAATGGTCTTGTGCTCCAGTTCTTCGGGACTTGAGACACCGCGACCGTGGGGCGCGATTCGCGTAGCGGAGAATCGCCTCGATCTCGCTTTGCCAAATTGGAAAATGTCGGAAACTAGTTTTGAAAGAGAGATAGATACGTGTAGATTAATAATTACGGTTCTCACGCGAAAGCTTCGCTCTCGGAATGTATAAAAGAGAAAATTTTCTTCCTGATTATTAGAAGCGCCTTTCCCGAGATACGATATATATTGCCGTAAAACTTATCGCAACTTTAAATTGGCGCAGCACACGAGTGGTATATAATCGTTTTTTTTTCATCACTATTTTATTCTCGTCAAGAATTTCGTATCTTTGACCATAATTTTTTTCTGCAATTGTGTTCTAATATCGGTTCTAATATTATAACGGAAATTGACCTTGGATGCGTCAAAGACGTCCCACGGTTACGAGACGAAACGGCATTGAGCCATCGCGCTGGTTCCGCGAGAGAGTGAAAGGCCCGGGGTGGCAGAACGAGATCGTTGCAGAACACGTTGATTCATCGGGCAAATGTTATTCGTTAGGTCGACGATAGATCGTGTTATATCGATCGTAACCTGATTCGCGCAGCTGCGCCGAACCGCGGTTTTCCATTTCGCATGAAAAACTCTTATTTCCGTTATTTACATCGGAAATACGATCCGCGCAACTTTTTTGTATTCCGAAGATATCACATTTGGCTGCAAAATATATATATATATATATATCGATTTCTCTCCCAACTTGTTCATTTTCCGCGAAAATACAGCGCGATATTGCAAAATACATGTACGACGAGGGACGCGACACGTAAGAACCCGTGGATCTACCGTTATTCAATTGAATTTACGCTTTCAACTACTTTCCTTTTTGTTTCGCGTTGTGCTTGCTGAGCAGCATTAATTCCTCGACGGCGGCGGCGTCGAGTAACTTTCGGCGCGCGTCGCTCGCATAACGATTTTATACAAACACGTGTGTAGAAAATTCTCTTTGGGGTGTGTTCGGCTCGAAACCGGTCATGGAAACACACAGGAAATCGATAATCGGAGGTGTAAAGCGCGGTATCCTGTACGGCGACACGCCTCTCGTTCTCCGACGCTTCTTTCGATTAAAAATAGTTCCTCGTTATACAGCGATTTTTTTTATGATCGCGCTTAAGTTTTAATTCCGACAAAAGATCGCGTGTGTTACACGCGGTGAATTAAACGTGCGTTAATTTGTCGCGTTTTCTTCGCGAACTGTGTTTGCGTAAGAACGATAAAACAGGAGAAAGCTGACACGTGAATGCACGAAGTGTCTCGCAGCGAAATTATCGCTTTCAGATGCAAAAGAGATTAAAGTCTTAGTCCTTTACCTAGACAGACACGCTGCACTTGATGCCCGTGCATTGACGGTATTACGCTCCGAGCGCGGTGCGAGTTCTCGCGAATTGAATTAGCACGCTGCGAACGTGCTACACTCCACATTTTATGCCGCACGTATACGAAAATACGTACAGATCGGGCTTCGCGTCTCCGCTTTCTTCCATTTATCCAAAGCAATTCGATCGTACGTACGAGTTCGATATCTCTCTTTGCTGAGTACAAGCACGTATCGCGCGGAAGTGGAAAAAGAAAAAAAAATGAAATTGAACTATCACGTTATTGACGTGCTAATTTACAAGTCGCGGTTGATTTTTCTTTTACTGAAACTCAAGGATCGATCAAATAAGAAAAAAAAAGGAAGGATTTTCTCTCGAATTTTTCGATGCCACAACTGAAAGTCAATCTGATTGCCGAGTCGAAGCAACCATCGGTCATAATTCGAATCCATCGCGTCACGTTTGTCACAGCGTCGTTTGTGCCGAATGACGATTTATCGCGCGCGCGCGTAAATATAACCGCTCGAGGTGAATCTCCTGAACGAGACGACGCGAGAAATCGCCGACGGGATCGGCGTCGCGTCGGAAACGACAGGGAAGAGAGCAGCAGCTACTCGAGGAGTGGAACACCTTGGCATTGACCGGCTTGCTGCTCCGCAACCTGCGCGCTCTTGCATAATCCGCTCGTCTCGTTCATCCCGGGTGCCTTCTCTTCGCGTCGGATTACGACATCAAACCGCATCTCCGCGGCGTGTTTCGCTCCCGAGAGACACGGTGTTCTCGTTCGCGGTGATCGTTCGCGTGCCGAGATATATAACGCGAACACCGAGAATGGTGTTACTAGACGAACGGATGAGAGAGTCGCGGATAAATCCCGTTTCCGTTTTTTTAACGAAAGATAAGATTTATTTAACGATAGAAAGTGCAAACGGAAAGACAAATACTTGTTCCGTTGTCATTCCAAAAAGTCAAATATAAACGTGGAACGTGTTATGTAAGTTGATTGTATAGTACAGTATTGGCAACTAGCTAGTTTCATATTTTTGTTCTAGTTTTTTACTCGTGATAAATTAATTTCTTTTATCAAAGACGACAATCGAGAAAGGTCGGGAAAAATTTCCACGAAGAAATTGTTCTGTTGTAACGGTTCTTGCGGCGATTGTAGATGTGTATATATATATATATATATAGTTACCGCGGTGCGCAAAATAAAATTGGAACGAATGCGCGCGCGTTTGATTGACATCGATGATTCATAAAATTGCTGATTATTTGCATTTTTTTTAATGGCCTCTGATTACTACTCGCGCTTGCATTTTTATACATGCAAGACAAAATACCATTGTGTATCTTTCGTTTATGTTTCACCACGTGAATTTGCACGTAGCGTCGGTAGTCTCTCGACGATAAATGTAATTTTATAGCGAGTCTTATATTTATTGCGCAAGAGTGGCGGGAACACGCAAGGTGGTTTAGGTGGTGAGTACGGGTAATACCGGTTTGTGTGTGCGTTTTGTACGTTTAACGGTCGCGTAAAATCCGCGCCGGTCAGACAAGGTTAACAATCTTATTTCGAGCCACGCTTGCACAAACGCATATTATTTGATTACTCCATCCAATAAATTGGAGGCGACGAACAGTTTGGATAAAAACAAAAAAATTCTAAAAAGTTTTCGAGAGAAATAATGTAAGTTGCGCAGTCGATTTTTAAGATCATTCGACATTTGTTTTATAAAAAGTTTTTGTCCGTAATATTCTTGAAAAAAAATATCCTCTCGACCAATCAATGACCTTCGTTGGCTCGAAGTAAAAATCGATCAGCGAAAAATTCAACGAAAGAGGCCAAACCGCAATTTGTCGCGCGGTAAAACTCAGAAAACGGCCGCAAGACCTTCGTGGCGCAATGATTTGTTCAATAAATACATCTGTGCTAATCTCATCAGCATGTTTTCAACTCGTGTTGGTTCGTTGAACGTTCACCTTCACGTTAGATAAGAACCACAAACAATCTTGCAACACTCTCACCCCGAGTATACTTGTTGGTAT